GGGGGGGGTGAGTGGTTACCATCATTATTATTTATATTTGAATTGTGGTTAAAAGCGTGGTTTAATTAATTCATAACATATGCTGCAATATTTAGTGTGACTGACTATTGTGTGCTGCATTGCATTAGGCTAATAAATTATATCACCAAATGTTATACCATTAATCATAAATATAATTATTGTGTAATCCAAACAAGTGATAAGTGAACAACACTTGTGATCACTTTTGGTAATAAATATTAAACGTTTAAAACACTTTCAAATGATATTTCAAAACACTAAATATATGTGAGATTTTAACTAAATTATAAAGTTTTAACTGTAATTAATAAGTTGCATATTAATGGTCCTACTTGATTAATTAAATGTTATTATATTAAATATTATTTAAATACAATATGAGTGAAAAGACAACAACAAAAATATGCGAGATTTGCGGCGATAAGGGAATCGGTATTTACATTATATTTGTCATTACGTTAAGTAAAATTAATAATTATATTATAGTATTAATAGTTATATTTTTACCATGTATTGTATGGACACAAATAGCCCGCAACTTCGGCGCAATGTCTTGTCAGTCATGTAAAGCATTCTTCAGAGGTTTTGGTCTCAAGAATAAGGTTTTGAATTTAATAATGATTTAATAAAATTTAATTCAATTATAAATATAGATATTTCGGTGTCAAACAAATGGTAAATGCATTTTACATACAAATGACGTGAAGAGAAAATTGTGTAAAAAATGTCGTTTAGATAGATGTTTTGCGGTGGGAATGAAAAAGGTGAACATGGTATTGATATTTCTACCACAATTAATTTAATTTCACATTTAATTAATGCAGGAATTAATACGAAATAACGCAGAGAAAGAAAGGGTAAAACAATTGGTCGACGAAAACAAATCAAAACAAAATCAGTCCCAAAGAGTGATGGACCGGACACTTGTGTGCACTCAATATGTGTCCGACATTGTTATTAGTGGTCACTTAATGGGCGCTCAAGACATTAGATCCGATGGATTACGGGAACAAAAATCGGGACATGAGATCAATACAAATCCCACGTCTAATACACTAGTTATTAGACAAAATGCAACCAAACAATGGCCACAAATTCCCCGATTTCGGGAACTTTGCGATTACAACGGTTTGACTCAACTCGAGTGCAATCGTATCAGTGAACTGATGGGCGCATCAAATATATTGAATTATCGGTTGAATAAAAACGGATTTTCCTATAAAATCAATGATTTTGAGGAATATATGAGCGATTTTTCCCACTTTAAGGAACTTTTCATTAGAGATATCATTAGTTTTACGAAACGATTGACCAGTTTTGGCAATATCTGTGCCGACGACCAGTTGGTGCTAATCAAGTATAGCTCAAGCGATTTGATTTCAATACTCAGTCTTAAGTATTATAATACGGAGACTAAAAGTTTTGTAACCCCTTTAGTGAGTATGATATTTGAAGCTAGCTCAATTAAAACTATATTAAATGCTATTTTAATAGGCAAATGACCAGGCTATGCAACTAAATTCAAACGTGCTTGATTCATTTTGCTACGAGAATCTGTTAAAAGATTTTTACCATAGGTTTCTATTGGAGTGGAATTACAGTGATTCAATTATTATTGCCCTGGTAGAATTATACAATTACATTAATTGTTTATGTTATACTAAATATTTTAATTTTTTAGCTGACCGTGATTATATTATTTAATCCAAAACATCCCAATCTATCGCACAGATGTAGCATATCGTGAGTATTTTAATTAATATAAAATAGCACAATTAATTGACCTAGATTCTTTTTGTATAGACTCGAACAACAACTGTATATATTTACTGCAAAGATATCTACTATTAAAATACCGGTCCGAATGTGAATCACAATTAAAGTTATATAAATTGATGAATACTTTAATTGAACTAAAATTGTTAAATAAAATTCAATACGAATTGTTAAACATTAAATGCAGTCTTTATAAGAGACATTTGGGACCACTTATGACAGAAATACTTTCACCATAATTATTACAAATGTATTATCTTTAGTGTATTAAAATAAGCTAATTTAACATTATAAAATAAATAAAATGTTTTGATTTATACAACTTATAAATAGCGTTAATTTACTGTATACAAAGCAATGTAAATGTTAATGTGTGCAGTAAAATTATACATGTTATCCTTGGGTTAGAAAGTAATGCCATATTATTATTACAGTCAGACCTCTGTCTTGTCAATCATCTATGCTGTCAACTCCTCTATGTTATCAACCAAATCCCAAAACCCACAGTACATAGACATAATGTTAAATTAACCTCTATGTTGTCAACCCCTCTATGTTATCAACCAAATGCCCCTGCTAAATTTTGTTGATAACATAGATGTTTCACTGTAGTTATATAGTTTTATAGTTATAGTAAATGACCATGAATTTAAATATCATTTTACTTAAACAAATATTATTTTTAATGGTAATATTTTTAATATAATAGTTAGATTACATTCATTATAGCAAATGAATGATAACATTGTTGTTAACCAAATAAACCAATTATTTTGAACAAAAACGTTATGATTTAAAATTAGTAATTTTTAATTACATTATTTTATAAACCGAAGACAAAATGCATTTCTTCGCATATCTAGTGATAGGTATTTGCAACTGATTATCAAAACACATGTAATTATTAATAATAAATGATTATTAATAACTTTAATCCACTTTTAAAAGGGACGGTATGTTTACCAAGATTGAATTGTCTCATAACAAAGCATTCAGACATCGGTCACATCCAGTTCTGCAAAGCGTTTGCCAACAATTCATACAATGTATACAAAACTATTTACGACGATTACACTAAAGAAGTGACTGTTATTATCGGCAATCAATATTGGGTTTTGAGAGCTACTGAAACCGATGTCCAAATGGATAGTGAATATCATGTGATCGACAATTTCTATGCCGATCCCGATATTGGCTTTATATACAAGTCATGGAATGGAGACTATGAGGTCTATAATGTATATACAGTATTGTTTTCATTAAACTTGTGCCAAATTTTAAGCTTAAAATAATTTATGAATAGTTTAAAAAGCGCACACGTTATTGGATATCGAGTTTGGGTGACAATTATACCCAGGCTAAGGCAATGTTACCAACTTTTTTGCCGCCTGAGTATAACTCGTCCGTTCCGTTCGTGTCTACTAACGATCGTCGGTGTGTTTTGAGTCAAACAAAGTCCCCACAAACTAACCATCAGTTTGTGAGAAGATATCTGTGTTTATTTAATGAGAATACAATTCCCGGTCTGACTGATGGCACCCAAAGTGTGAATCAAGTGATGGCTATATTTGGACCAATCAGTGGACCAAATCCTAGATATGTATTCTTCTTTAAAGAGGACACAGATATCACGTATTGTTGGACACAAAACAAGGATTTCCTCAAAGATGTGAGTGATTTGTAATCTTTTAATATATTAATAGTTATGTATTTTTAAAATGAATTTCTCTGTCATTTAGTGTCTAAATTCATCGGCAAATCGTTTGCTAATCAGTTGTAAAGCAAAGTCTACTGAGTCTACAACTCATTGGATTGTATTGTCTGTAGTTATAGTGATTGCAGTGATTATTGTTTCAATTATTGTCTGCTATTGTTATCTATGGAGACAAATGTGTGGACACAAGACATCGACTCTCGACCACTCGTTATCTAAAGATTTCTAAACAATAGTTCTTTTCATACATTTTTATAGATTAGCAAATGATTTCAAAAACTTATTACAATTTACATAAAAATACTGACATTTAAAACAATAAACTTCACGTTTTATCAAAATATGAGAAAAAACTCACAAAAATAATTTTTCATAATATTAGTGATTTAATTATTAAACCTCTAAAAATATACAGTATATCTACTAATTAAACAGATATTATGTGTTAATTTGTAACAATACAGTAAATTAACTGATTATAGCAAATGAATGATAATATTGTTGTCAATCAAATAAATCACAATTATTTTACACAATAAAATTATAATTAATCAAATATAATCACTCTTTACAATTAGTATCGACGAGAATATATAACTCGTATATCCTATGTTAGGTGTATATAATGTCTAATACCAGACGTCTCTGTCAATCGGCGGTCGTATTAAGCATTTTATTAGTTAATTGATTATAAAATCAGGAGTTGTGTCACTCTGTTGTTAAATTAACAGACATTTCCTGTCACTTGAATCAGTGATGTCATTGTCATCCGACTCCCTGTCTCTCAACACAAAACATCAACATCTTTCTCACTCTCCCCTCCCTTTCGCAGTCTCTCTCTCTCTCTCTCTCTCTCTCTCTCTCTCTCTCTCT